TATAAAATGTTTTTGTAGCTACCCAATAATTTAAAAGCAAGTTGTGTTACTTTTAACATAGAAGTATATGACATATCTCATAATTTTTGAAGAGAGGTGTATATAGACTATATATTAATTTATTTCGAGGATCCCAACTGTTCGATAGGTATCCGGGTATATTTCTTTTTATAAAGATTTCTCTGTATGACTTTTTTTTCTTTCCATTTCTTTTGTTTTGACATGATCTATCATGATTATGTCCGTTCATGATCTACTGTGAAGACTTTCTATAGTATCTCGTCYAGTTTCCTATACTTGTATGGTATAGATCTTTAACAATATTGTTATCAATCGTCTATTGAAATGGGMTATAGATATCCATAAGTTGATCGTRATAGACTTGAGTGTGTCATTCATTGATTGATGGGAATCTCAACAAACAGGGCGGAGATCGGCATCGCTCMAATATCTTACAAATGTCATACTAATCAAGAAATAAGGATGTAATGTTGCTATTCATTGCTATTTCCAAATAAAACAGGGAGAAGCTTACAGAAGGTATTGAATAACAAGCCTTTGCCACAATTTTCTCAATTTTCTTGTATTTCAAGCGCAATGTTTTTGTAGCTCGCACGGAAGCTTTCTAAAYTCTGACAGGTGTCGCGCAGTAGCAGGAATTAATGTGGCTACACTAAAAGCACAATTAACTGTTCTCTGAATAATTTAAATTATCCCATCATCACGCTMTTCTTCTATTTTGGCGCTACGCCGGAGAAGCCGGACGTAAACCTAAAAGCTATTCTGGTATATTCCGTGKGGATTTTAATCCAGTTGTTAATGTATTGCAGAAAAAATGTTACCCTACAATGTTTATTTCGAAAACAAACGTCATTGAGAACACTTACTTCTTTCCGTTCTACAAATGCTTTTTTAGTTTTCGATTTTTATAAACAGCCCGAGAACTTCCGTAAAGATGTCTCTTGAAAACACAAAGAAAATCRAACTTCTTTCAGCTACAGTTCACAAAAAGATTTGTTTTAATCGGAAATGTTAACATTTTGTTGTGTAAAGTAAAAAAATATAATAATCTAGCCTTTGTATTTTTGGTCTATAACTGAATCATAGATCGTGCACCTTCTCATTAGCTATAAAAAAAATGAAAAATTACTGGATCAGCCAAGCTCAAATTGGACATAAATTGTATAAATCCATATTAACTTGACTTGTGTGTTAGTAATTTACGTTCAAGAAAAACAAGTTATTTTGAGCTTTTCGATACATAGACATTTGCGTTTTAAACTACGATGAGATCAAGGCTGACTGAACGTTATTTTATAGGGTGAATYATTTTATGGTCATAAGAGATAAATATAGGAAACTCCAAACACTTTTCAAGTCATTTACGTTCAAGTACAACTAAACCCTACTAGAAAGTCATTTCATTCGAAAGAGAACATGCTGCTAAGCACTTCTGCAAAGGGAAAAAAACTTTCAAATTTACATCTTCTGATTTAGAAATATTTGAAAATCGGAAATCCAAATTAAGTTACGTCTACTAAGGGATGATTTAATATGCAAAATCACGAAAAATATATATATTACTCTTTATATCGGAGATGACTTTTCCACTCTCTTGAATATTACTGTTATTGATGATTTGATCATTTCAACCGAACGCAAGATATCGCAAACAATGAAAAACCTTCAGCCCAATTCCTTGATTGACGTCACTTCATCTTAGCATTTTCAATTTTCAAATGCCTTTAACTCAGAAAATACAATTCAAACAACATTTTTTCTTCAAGACAATGATTAGCATTATATTTGCCTTTTTTTAAATTGATTTTCAGTTCGTTCAGTTGCACTTTAATGATGGCCTCCCTTGAGCAAATTTTGAAAAATACAATACTTTTAATTCCTGTTAAATATTATGTAAATATTTTATCAATCAATTTATTGTTACTAAATGTATCATCATTTATTTGTTTTATAAGAATTCAAGTCATTAGCTTATGATTTCTCCTTTTTTTTCAGTTTTTTATATTATTATTTTACGATACACAAGTAACTTATAATATTTAGTTATTATTATCTAGTAGTAATGTACTAATTAATGTAGTAATGTACTAATAAATATATTAAGACGAAGAAAAAAAAAAAAGTTGCGATAAATCAAATAACAATTTCAAACGGCTGTGCTTTGATAACCATTATTCGTCGTTGCTAAGATGTTTGATCGTCTGTTTATCATAATAATAAATAAATATACATGTAGACATTAAACAAAACGCATTTTATGTTTGTAAAATAAGTGATGTTTATGTTTAAGTTCGTAGTAGGACACTGTAATTTTAATTAAAAACGAGGACCGAGCATAACGTGATCCTCCCTGCACATGTTCAGGTGTAAACGATTCTAAAACGTTTTTTATGTAAACAACAACAGATGCACTTGAAAAGGATTTGCTAACATGAGACAAACAATTATGGATAGGAAATGAAGTAAATGTGACCCCACTGAGCTATGAGGATCAGCTACCAACATATCCTTCATATTCTCAAGCGAGCCGTTATTGGGCAACGGATTGATTCCAAGRAGATGGCACATCAGAGGGTAGAGGTCAATCGCCCGTAMTGGCCCCTTTGTTTTGTAACCCCGCTTGAATGAAGGACCGTGGGCGTAGAATATAGCTCCGAGTTCTTTCCTTGCCTCCCATCCGTGTCCTGTGTAAAGAGACAATGTAGGGAAAGTTTTTTAACAGAATATTTTACATGATTAAAGGCTATGTTCTCTGGTTTATTGTTATTATTATGTCATTTTTTTCTTTTTCAAACGAGCTTTCGACCTCTATGGCTGAGGGCTTTTCCAAGTGAGCACGTTACAGATTTTAATTTTAAATTGAAATGGCTAAGTGCCGTTTGTTGATTAAGAATATTTTACAAATACGTCACCAGTTTTAATATTTATCAAAGAAACAATATGATCATCGGGGAGGATGTAGTTGAGAAATGCTTGATGTGCGGTAGACAGTCATTTTCAAAGTCAAGTCACTTTTTTCGATAAATATTGACTCACCTGGGTTCAGACCTTTCAACACTTTCATTAGGTTTTTGAAAAATATCATATATGTATTAAACATGACRAAAAACCATTAGGTAATGTCAAAATTATGCAATAATCACTTAGGTATTTTATTATTGATAATGTCCATTTTTCAAGTTTGAGGTAAAAAGGTAAATTAGCAGATACCATTTATATTTTTACCATGGAATCTACTGTAAAAATTTCATTCAATCATTCTTTGAAAAAAGTATAATAATATCTTGAAAGTAATCATTGCTTTGAAAATGTGAATATGCAATAAGAAATAAGTAAGAATATTTGACCTACCYGCTTTTMTCCAAYTTGATACGAATGCRGGTCGCTTGGTTTTCACGATCCATCCAAGATCCGGTTCAATATATATCGGMGGGATGCGACGATTGTTTTTAAAATGAAAACATTCGGGAATCTCTTCTTTCTTGTAAAYCCTCATAGGCAGACGTGYTTTGGCCTTCGTAAGGTTTGCGTAAATCTCGTCCTCTTTACCCTTCAATGTCCATATGTGCCCTACGACGCCATCAGTTTTATTGAACRTCCTTGTGTCTAGATAATCACTYAAGTAGATYACTTTATCCGACGAGGTTTCTACCAAGCTATGATCAGAAACAAAGATCAAATTGATTTTGTCGAATAATTTGGCTTTTTTAAGGCTTTCAATTAAGTATCCAACTACATCTTTGTCGACTTTTCTCACGGCTTTGACAAATTGCCTACTTTTGATACCATATGAATGACCTGTARCGTCCGGTTGACCAACGTAAAAGGTTGAAAAATGTGGTGGATTGCTTTGGCTCAACCATCCGACGAGTTTGTCAATACGTTTGCGATAAGGAACASTGTGGTCTGCAATACAGTGGATATAGGGAGGCCAAMCTTCGCGAGTTCTTTTACGATGTTTTCGCAATTTCCAAGGATTRCTGTTCAGYTCTGTACAGTTCACTGAACAATTAGGTTTTAYATATAGACTTGGTYTCTYTTCATAACTGTAATACCCTGGCCARTARTACATTGCTGAGCGGTAWCCCTGTTTCTGGACCGTCAACCAAATCGGCTCGGCGTCTTTGTAAAACTTTGGATCAAAGTTGGTGCAGTCGTACTGGAGAATGAATTTTTGCTGGTAAACAGGATCCCAAAAACTRTTGGAAATGATACCATGGCTTTCTGGATACAAACCAGTCAAGTATGTTTGATGTGTTGGCCAGGTCTTGGTCGGTGTAACKGTAACCATGTAGCTTGCTTTGACGCCATTTTTTTCAATGAAGTTGAGGTTGGTCGTATTTTTKCCRCCGGTAAATTGCCATCCAAGACCGTCTAAAGAAACCAGAAGCAGTGGATGTTGTGCATACGATAATACAACTATCAGTAAAGTCAAAAAACTGCAGATCAATACTGACATGATTTCGTTGCAGGTGTCAATGTGCACTAATTGCTAGAGACATGGGATGAATTCTAAAATACTATCATGTCTAATCCTGACATGATTTCG